TGAAAAAAATAAAAGATGACTACAACCTTCCCTGTAAGACACGTATTTCCTGCCTTTTGGTACAGCCAATCCTTCCAGTTGCCCACAAAAACAAGAATAGCTTAGTCCCAAGTTCACACTACACCATTATATCAGCTCCTCAGTCTTGACCAGCCTCCTCCTCTACATCGTACGTCCTCACTAAAATAACAACAAAGTAAAAACAACAATCGCTCTACTCTCTACTGGAAGACCATCCTCCACGACCTCAGGAAGCAACAGACTGCCTATAACCTGTTCTACAGGTGTGGTTCTCTCGTGGGTCATTTCTTTCCCAATAGTTGTGAATGTTGGCTTAGATACTGATAAAGATGATATTTCTCACGCTGCTAGTTTAAATTATGGAAAACATTTATTTAATCTTCATAAAATACCCCAAAGAAAGAATTCCAATTTTGAGTATTTGCTAGAGAATCTCATTGTAGGCTTTTTTCTCCCCAAAGGCAGGAAGATAAAATTACTCTTCTTACTATTATAAATACGGTATTTAAAATAAAAGTAAAGGATATTTTGGGCTTCTAAATATGATTATTTTGAAGCTTATCCATACAGCATTTCTGCCTCCAAAGCCTTGCTGAAACTCTGGTGAGAAATCGTTAAAAAATGAACAGGTTGTTTTTTCATTTTGCTTTGATTTTGCTTTTTTTTTTTTTTTTTTTTAAACTGGGCAAGCATGATGATTCCACCAGGGCACATTATTTCTCAGCTTCACAGGATCCTAAAAAAGGTTTATGGGTGCTAAAACAAACAAACAGAAAAGTAGCTCAGAAGTCATCCACAAAACTGGTTAAGTTTAAAACTGAATTCTGAAACGCCAGTAGTAAATCGAAAGTGTTTTTCTGCTATATCATTTCTACTTATCCACATCAAATTCATTGCTTCTAAGGGAAGTTCAGATGTTAAGCTAACTTCCAAAATGGTTTTTCCTAAGGGAATCAAAATTCTCATCTGTCCTTCTAAAGTGTCCCCTGTCTTCATCACCACAGGAACTCCAACATCTGTTCTACCAGGGAAACTTCCTGCTTTGGTGACACATTTTATTTCCACCTCTGTATTAAAGCTGCTGTGCAATCCTGTTGTGGAGAACAAAACATTATCACCTGATTCCATCTCTAGACTCACCCACTGTTTTTCTCTTCCTCAACTTAAAACGCCTTTTTTCTGAGGATCCCTTGTTATTATAATCATCCTCAATGTATCCAAAATTCAACTGCTAAATTTAAATACGTAATGGCTCTAACATACATCCTATTCATCCTGTTATTCCTAGTACCTTTCTTCCACTATGCACCTTATCCTTCGGAAAAATAAAATATGTACACATACAGTCAGCATGTATATGTAATAGTGATGTTCTCATGATTCAGATCCCTCATTAAAGCTCATTTATTTTGTAAATCTCAGCACTAGTTTTTGAAGCAAAGATTTCATTCTTTTACATAATTCTGAAAAGCTAATTAAAAAAGCAATCATGCCTAAAGCTTTTACTTTCTTCCCTGAGGAAACTATATCTCTTTTCTTCAAAGGACATGGCCCCTTCTTTTATGCACCACCAGGATTTTCCTTCTCCTTATCTTTTTGCTGCACCGTTAGCATGTTGACTGTAAACTCCAAAGTCAGATATGTACTCCATTAGACAAACAATGGTTTTTGCTACGAGTTAAACTAAATTTTAATAAAACATTCCAAACTTTTTATAAGGAATCCTTAAATAAATATATTCTGTATTTCTGTGGTTTCTGATTCAATGTCAATGATACTTTTATCATAAATCCCTAGGTCAAAACATCAAACAGATATGTAAGTGTACTGATAATTTAAAAACCTTCAATTACTGTCTAAATAATGCTATCTCAATATTTACTGTATTTTCCATAAAGCATACAAAAATGAACAGAATACAGTATGGTGGTAAGCTTATTTGCCTAAGATAACGTTAGAGCAAGCCAAGGGTAGAGCGTATTTTACCTATGGGGAATTAAATGTGCAAATACACAAAGATCCAGATAGACAGACTGCAGTTAAAATGATATGCTCAGGCATTATAATTAAAATATATACATATATAACTATTTACTTGGGCAATAAGGTAATAAATAAGTGGAAAACTGAAAATACAAGCTATACCTTCTTTATCGGGTTCCGCATCTTTAGTCTCAACGTCTGTGCTCTGTAGTGTTTTTTCATTATTGCTGCAGTGTGGTACCTCAGCTTTCACCAAATCAGCTCCTTGACTTTCGCTGGAAGCGTCTGATTTCTCCTTTGGCTGATCTTCAGTTGAAGCTTTTTGCTTGTTACTAGATCCATCACTGTTGTCACAGGGTGAAACAACATCAATTGATTCCATTTTACCGTTGTGACATGCTGGAACAGGTATACCTTCTACACTGTGCATAGATGTCTCTCCATTTACACAGCCCCCTTTTGATGCAGGGTCCTTCCTTAATTCCTTTTCAGCATTCAGAGTAACACTGTCGGTTATTAACAGAGATTCATTTGAGCTCTCTTCTTCTGTGGAAGCAAAATTGTTTTCCTTTCCTGATGTCCCATTGTTAAGCCTCTGCTCTGCATCTATATCCATAATATCACAAGAGGATTCATCATTTGTCATGGAGAGATCACCTGTTTCCTCCCCATTCTCCTCAATGCAATCAGTGCTGATCTCTAGCTCTCCATTTTCCAGCAATTTACTGTCCTCTCCGTGATTTTCATCATCAGCAAACTTTGCATCATCTTCATCTTTCTTCAAATTATTGACTTTCCTCTTTTTAATAATTCCTTTGCCCCACTGGGAGCGCCGTCTTGATTTTCTCCTTATTCGAACTGAATTATAAGGAAAGAAAGACGCTTTTAAATGCATACGTACCCCTCAGTAAACACATATTAGAATATGCTCTAACCTAAGGCAATCAAATGCGTTCACATTTAAAGGAATAAGTAAAACGTCCACTGACTTCAACGCGAGCGCTGAAGTCCAGTGAGTGAACATTCAGTTTTGTGCACCACTCCTACTCTAGGTTACGGAAACAACTAAGACTTGCTAATCTTTCCTACTTAGCATACTTAATAAAAATCTATTTACAGATACACTATTAAGAGAAAACCTCTAAGCAATAACGCAGAACTCAGACAGTCATTCTTATTTTCACTAGGAAACGCGGAACTGAGCGGCTGCTGTTTTCCCTTTCTATCTCTTTCAGTGATTTGAAATCATCATACAATGAAAGAAATGAAAACACAATTCGTGGAATCACAGAATCATGAGATAATTCAGTTTAGAAAGGACCTCAGGAAGTCTCTAGTCCAACCTCCCACTCAAAACAGGGTCACCTATGAAGGCAGATCAGGTTGCTTAGGGCTTTATCCAGTCAGGTCTTGAAAACCTCCATGGATGCAGACTGCACAAGTTTCCATAGGTGTCCTGTACCAACATGTAACTGCCCTAAGAGTGAAAAGGATTTTTTTTTTTTTTTTAAAAACTTGTATCCTGTCAGAACCTCTCTTGTGTCAATTTACATCCATAGTTAAATCCAAAGACATCTTCAGGGATTAAGCCAGCTACAGAATAACCATCACTTCAACCTTCCACTCATCCCCTCCTGTGTACTATGTTCACTGCATTGATACAATCTGGCTTTAAAAAAAAAAAAAAAGAGTTTTTTTTCCTCTTGAAATCCAAATCATTTTAGCAACTCAGCCCACAGCAAGATCTCACAAACATAAGCATTTGTACAACGAGTTAATATGAAAGGGAAGTCACAGTTTCTTAAACTAGTCTCAGCACCAATGCTTCCCCCCATATTATGCAACTCAACTTGAAGCAGCAAGGCCCCTTGATCCTTTTTTCATTATCTTTGCTCCATTACTTCTTCATTTTTCCTATTTCTTATGCACACTTTCTGTGCATTTTTAAAAATCAGATTATCAACTTTTTTCAGAGAGTAGTGTTTTCACTAGTCTATTTGCAGTGAGACACAACACGGCACCAATGTGAAAGAGGTGTGGGGGCATGTTTGCAATATAATCTACAAGTAATATAGAAGGAAAACTATTCAAATCTAATGCTGTTGTCAATGACCTTTTCAAGAGCGCTAATGAGACACAGTGCAGAAAATTAAGGAAAAGGTTGGGAAAAATGGGAACTTCTACATTCAAACTCAAGCAATGATGCAGATTGCTCATATTTTTGCAAAGTTAAAGAAGTTACAGCCAAGTGCTTCTATTTGAAAACGACAACCAATACTTAACAGTGATTAACAAATATTTTTCCATTTTGAAATAAACTCCTTTGTTGAGTACCTCCGTCATGTTCTCGGTATTTGTAGGTTGCTTTGATCTATGGGGTATTAAGTCCTAAATCTGTGCCTGCCTATCTCACACTGAGTTACAAAGATCAGTGTTTATTAAGGTGCTTTGAAAATATAAGCAGTAGGCAGGTACATCTGTTCAGAATTAAACCACAGAAGCTCAGAGGAGTACACTTGTACTTCAGAATTTCCTCCCTGTGAATGCCATACGTAAGCAGGTAGTTTAACCGCTACATTGAGAATAAATTTGCCATTAACCTTTTAGTTTTAAAAGCTATATTGCCATAAAAAATGGTAGTTGCACTTGCAGCATATATTTATTGTTACAAATAATCCTTACTGAGAACTATAAGATTTGAAGGAAAAAAAAAAAATCACTTTTTCCAGCTACTTTGTAGATTTGATAGCGGCTTCTACAGTCAGTTTCACTGTTTTATTGATGATGAGCCACAACCCGTTCCCATAACTTTTCAGGAGCTCATATAATCTTTCCCCAGATTCTGCAAGAGATTTTCAGTAACAACAGAAGCAGCAAATCTGAAACGAAACAGGCAGATGTAAACTTACACAGAGAAATAATTTCCCTACTAGGAAATGGGTTTAGTCTCAGGTCAACTCCAAAGATGGATACAGAAAACGCAGAAGGGGAGTAAAAGCCTTTTAAAGGAAACATATTAATTAATATGTCCTGAATTGTAAAAATGAATGGAAAAGCTGAATTTTTAAAGATCTGACTTTGGCTTTTTAGCTGCCTTTGCAGCAAGATGTAATTTATCATATCAATGATTTGTACTCAAGGATGCCTATTTTACTAGTGCATCTATTTTGCCCATTCTGCAAGCCCAACTTGGGATGAAAAGCACATAGTGCCAAAATACTCAGGCATGTTGCTAAAATTAAGCATGTGAGAATCACATTAAAGTAAAACGGAACTAACCTTCTATTACACACACCAGTATGTTTCAAGCCTTCCTAAACTATAGCCAGAAAGCCTAGCACTCTCATGCAGTACTATTCAGATGCAAATTATAGGCCTTTCCATAGTTTTCCATAGTGAAACCCACTCTGGGTTTCACTGCCGTTATTAAATAGGACACAGCAACCTCAAAGTACTGCAGAAGATCTCCTCCCAGGATCTCTGAGATGTTCTGCTTTTGCACTGCCTCAAAACGAGTAAACAGTTTAGCTGCCTCATCCAAAGTATGCAAATAAAGCAGAGCTCTGACTGAAACATTACAATGTCTTATATAAAAAAACCGGTCTAAAGTCATATTATTTTAAAAAAAAAAAAAAAAAAAAAAAGATACCAACCAACTCAGTGGTTGCAACCAACCACTGAGTTTTAGGAAAAAACCACCACGTTTCATTAACAGATATTGCTGAACAGGCCCTTCAAGAACATAATTTATAGTACTTGTGTTGAAAATTGACAAAAGCAATTACCTAGTTACTTTTTGTTTTCATCAGTCAAATTTGGTTAATGCTTAACTTTTTCTTTCCTAGACTCTTACCACTTCATGTTTTAAGAAAGTACCATTACCTGAGCCATCCAGTCCTGTAACACAGATATGAGTATCTTATAGACCAACATTTCAAAATACTGATTTTTTTCTTTTTTGTCCATATACTTCTAAGAATCAACTTTTTCCCGTCATTCAGATAAAAGCCTTCCTGCTTTCACCTCCTTCTATCTGCTGAAACCTTTTCTCCTCTGACTTTCATAAACTCACCCAAATCTCATTTCAATTCATTTAACACAACTGCTAATATCATTTTCATGACCACAGTGAGATTCTTAATCCCCTACCCAATAAAGCTTTGAGTCCATTCACCAGCTTTTGAATCTTGAGCATGTCAAAAGCAGACTTCCAGTCCTTATATTTAACTACCTCAAAACTTTTTTTTTTTTTTTTTTTTTAAATCTAGGCTGTATTATTGCTCTGTGTAAAGCAATGTCTTTTGGGATATGCAAAGAAATTCTGCTTCAGATAGGAAGCATTCTTAACACTGTTATATCAATTTTATTTTATGCAGAGAGCCAGGCCTCTAGGAAAAGTGAGAAGCCAAGCAAGGAATACAATATTTTTAAAAAAGATAACATCAGCCTTTATCTCCCGCCCCACCTCCCCCAGTAAGACTAAGGGAGTAGTAGAAGTAAGAGAGGTGTTTAATTCATGGAGCAGGGATCCATCTGATCAGATTTGGAACTCTGCACTGGAGTTCATCATCTAGACTCTTTTCATAGTCAATGGGGGGAAGGTGCTACCGAGAGAATCACACTGACCTGAAAAGGTGCCATATAAGGCAGGAAAGAATAAGATTTTTATCTCCAGATCCTGCAGAGGAGTTGAATAGGATTCAAATTGTAAAGGAAAGAGGAGCTATCACAGGGTAAAACTGATGTATAACTAACGGGCAAACGTTCATGCATTGCCGCTTTTAAAAAAATAAACCTCATCGGGGTCTCCATTTTAATGGTGATCTTCTATAAAAACTGTAAACCATTAATAACAAAATTACACTTTTCATTTTGCAGTTAATATGATTCATCACGCATTAAAATTCTAAGTAATAGAATGGGATAGCCATTTACAGAAGAACTATTGAGAGTTAACTTTGTTAAAAAAAATTACCAGAGCATATACAATTATAAGTTAATGCATTAACACCTTTTCAATTATTCCTTTTAAAACTACTCATCTGAAATCTACCCATTGATATCCAATCTTTCAGCACTATTTGTGCCAGAGGCAGTAGAAATACAATTACCACAGGAATCCTGCTTTTCAGAACTGAGTTTCTATAACTCAAACTATTATAATACCAATTATTCACACATGAGTACATTCATTTGCCTTCTGAATTGCTACACTCTTCTCTCTATAATCCTCATGTAACCTCTATAGATTTGCCAAGGGGATCCCCACTTCAGTTCAGTTTGCTTTTTTGTAAATCCTTACCCCAGTTCATACAGAATTTTTTTTTTTTTTTTTTTTTTTTTTTTTACAACAACGCATACAGATCTGGCCAAGCGAGTCACACAACATTTCAGTTGGATTCACATGGAGTTGATACCAAAAGTAACCCTTCAGCACTCATTTATTTGTGCTAAGCTGCACAGTTGATGCAGATAAAATTAAAAAGGTACAATGTAATATAATGTAATTAACCACCAAAGACAAATTTACCCTAAATTTCCTTAACCAGTACGTGGGGTTTCCCAATTCTTCCATTTCTATCTTGAAAAACTTTAAGAGTCTGCTGAAAGATCACTTAAGATAGACAGCACTTACCCTGGAGAGGGCCTCCCATGATTAAAAAAGGAATTCTGTATGTACTTCAGAAGGACTAGTCCTCTAGGAACAAATTAAGCAAAATGAAACGCGTAGCAGACTTTCAGAAATTCTAGATTCTTGCTCATTGATAGGTTCATCTTTAAGATTTTGAAGACAGACACACCAAGTAATGATAACATCTTCTGGTGACACAAGCACTTAAGAAAAATCCAGCGTTACC